TATTGCCAAAAATCTTTTTCGTCCGACCTTTAATGAAAAAGACTGCTTTGAAGGTTAAAAATGGATTATAAAAAGAGGTTCGACCATGAGCTTTTGAGCAAACTTTTTGTCTCAATTTCTATTTCAAAAATTCTACATAATATTTTAGTTATTACAATAAATTTTGATTCTAGCCATTAAATTATATTTAATTAAAATATCAAGATTAAATTCCATAGGAAAAGAATGAAGTGAGGAACTATATCTTGTGACGGAAGATTTTTTTAATCAGAAAATGATCTTTTTTTTTTTTTTACTTTAAGTATTACTGTCCTCTTAAGTTTGGATTCCTTGTTTTCCACGCAGGCTGCACACAGAGGTATGTTGTGCAGTGAATTTTTTTACGTTGGTCCCATATCATTTATTAAATTAACTGTCATTAATTGTTTAATCATATTGTAACAAATATTGCAAATATATTGTGAAAGAGTAGAAAAATAGCCCTAATTTAGCCTAAAATTTAACACTATTTTAGTAATATCTAAAAAATTTACATAATAGACACCCACTTTTAATTTTCTTCTCTGATTATGTAAGATAAGTTTTACCATTCTGTTTAAAATTAGTAAAATCGTAAATTAAGACTTAAAAATGATTTTATTGCTTGTTGAATTTTTCATGCTAGAAAAAGGTCATTTTTTGAGTACAGAGAGGTCGAATAATTGATTATGCAAAGTAATTTGATATGAAACTTTTTCGTTGTCACAAATTTTAATGTATCTATTCAACATAAAATAAATCTGTATTTTGGTTACATGATCTATTTGGATAAAAATATTGCAGCAAAACTTCGATAAATTGATTTATGAGTTAGATGTAATTACAACGCAAAAAGATCATATTAAATGCTCCATACCACAAAAAGAAGCGCACTGGCACCCATCCTTTTTTTTTTTAATTAAACTTTCTGTGTTGATTCAAAAAATACAATTGATAAAAAAAATTATTGATACTTTTGAAAGCATGATTATATACAATAAGCAATATCCAATTCAAATCTTTAGTTTTCAATAACATACATGAATTACGAGGCGTTTCGGATGGAAGTCTTCCTAAGCATCGATAAAAGTATTCAGTCTGACGTTTATATTTAGTTCTTCAAACCAGTTAAGCCATTTGGGGATGAGATTAAAGCGAATACAATTTCAATGCATTAAAAAAAAAATTATTATGTCTATCTCTAAGTTGTGCGTCTCTTTGAAAGCACTGAATATTGAATTGCCGATTAATTTCAAACAATTCGGCAATTTAAAGGAATCTGTTTTTCCTCTGGATTGATCAGAAAACTATGGTTAAAAGACATGCTAGGTGGATTGAAAATCATCTTAGACACTATAATTTCAATCCATTGTTTTTACGGACATTCCCTCTGAATTAGATGGAAATGATTTTATCAACATAATTACATGTACTTCCAAATTTCTCAGTTAATATCCTGTGGTCTAAGAATAAACAAAAACAACATACCTATTGTAAGAGCAGATCTATCCATTGGTACTGCTTCTTTTTATTTCGATTTGACATCAATATCTTAGAGCAATTTGACGATGGATTGCTTTGCCTTTTCAAGTAAATGTATATCAAAAAAAAAAATATTTTAGAGTCATATTTTTTTTGAAAGTTTTGGATGCGATGTTATCATTTATGTGAGTATTAATCATCAAAGTGTATTTAATCTTTTCTTAAATGAAAAAAATAATGTAAACATGGACCATGTTTAGGCCCTGAAAAGCCTCAACGAAAGGGAATTTAATTTCAGACGACAACTTGAGATAATAATTTCCTTTTCTAACCAAGTTTGTATTCAAAACCTCTTTAATACAGCATGTATTTGACTGTTATTGAAACATCATCACAAAAAGTACTGATTTTAGAAACCCTGATACAACTATCATCGTTCTCGAGTCATCTTCACATCGTCAGGCGTGTTCACGCCCACAAGTGGACTCAGGACCCCTGACGTTGTGAGGATGTGTTCGAGTGTGAATAAGAGAAATATATAGATTTTAAAATTAATAACATAAAACTTGGTGTTTTTTTTCGTATTAATCTACCTATTTTTTTTCTATCTAAAACACAATGCCTTAAAATGGCTTATGAAAATTTAACCTTAAGAACTTTATTATAATTTCTTTATTTTCATTATATAATCTTCATCAAAGTGAAATATGGAGTAAAAGAATTAAAAAAATAAAATAACTTCAATAGAAATACTTAAGTAGCAAAAAAGGTATATAGATATTAACATAGAATGTGAATGGATGCGAAAATGGCCTGAAATATATGTCTGTTGTCATAAGTTTTCATTCTTTTGTTGTTTTCTTTGATTTTGGTTTGTAAAGGAGCATAAGTAATTTAAACAAAAAAGTAATTTAAGCTTTATCGGGATTTTGTCAACGGAAATACGTACAAGCACGTGCATATCACAGTTTTATTTTTTTTTTTTCACGGCGGACCTAAGTATTTTGTTAACATCAATGGCCGACTTATTGACATTCGTATTGAAATAATCTTATAATTAAACAATTCTATGAATTACAATATTGGGACTGAGTTGAATAATAAGCGCTAGCCAATAATGTATTCTTAAAGGTACGCGCATTTTAATAAGTGATCAATTATGGATAATATATATTATTATTTATATCAAAGTTCTCCACATTTGAACATTTAACCATGGAGTAAGCGAAAGCAAAATGGGATCGAAAGGACAAATGCGTGTTAGACTCTCTAAACCTAACAATTGCAAAACAACCCCCCCCCCCAAACAAAACAAAAAATTAAAAAGCCAGAAAAAGTAAACAAATAAATAAAAGAAATAATAAGAAATAAAATAAATAAAAATAAAACCATATCTTTCTCTACAAAAGTACCAAATTAGACCCAAACTGTGGAAGCTTTTTAAAAGAATTTCATTTTTTTTAATTTCAATATAGTGACTTATGCAACAATGTTCATCAGATTTTATTAAAAAACTAATATACAACAATGATCTTGCCTGTTGAATGACAAGCTTTATTTAGATATGTTAAGAATTCATGAAGGAATAGTATTTAAAAAAAAAAGTTACAGACACACAAAAGAACACACGAACAAACACCGACCTTTAAACATCGCCTGAGCTTTTACTTTTTTTCTGTAACTGTCTGGTCTTAACTAGGGGCATAAACATGACATAACTGTAATATTGTTTTCTATGTTTTGTTCTTTCTAAAGTTTTCCTCCATTGTTTATACTTCTCCATGTGCTCCAGTGCTAAAAAAGATTATAACTAGGGATTATTTATTTTAACATTACGAGTAAGATAATTTTCACGCAGGTCTTTTTGTTAAAACAATATGTCAAAAATATTATTGTTATTCATGTAATATAACATCGAAAAATACACATAATTTTTTTTTCTTATTTAACAGTTACTTGAATGAACAACTACAAAGAGGGTATTCTGAATAATATTTTAAATGATTGCTTACATAAACATTAATTTCCGATCTCTACAGTCTAAAAATGAATGTTATCTAACCTATCATTTCAATACTCGGAGCATATTAAAATATGTAGCATATTTATGTTTTACATGTACTAGCATAACAAAATATTTACAATCGTTGAATTTCCATTACATATTAATAGCAGTAATAAAAAGCTTCTTGAATAAAATCCACTGATCAATTGAAGGTCAAGAATAAAAGATGCAGTTCTGCGCCCATTTATTTTCATCACTCAGAAGAATGTACCTCGCTGTTTTGAAAAAAGCATTAGGGATCTAAGTATTTGCGTATACAATTTCCGTGTTACAGTATGCTTCTAGCGAATTCCCTAACAAAGTAATCCAAACAGCTTTGAAGCAAAACTGGTAATAAAACGAAAGTTTAATTAAGAAATGGACACTTTAAAATACGAGTATAAAGTAAAATGTATAGAAGATGATCTAAAGTTATAATTATTCCTGACATATGATTGGACTAAAAATATTACTGCTTGCAGTGGTTATCTTAAATTGCTTTGGCTAACTTTAGCTTTGCTTTTCTTAAAGAGAAGATTAAATAAAAAGAAACTAACATAATGCTTAAGTTTGTAAAATTTAAACTTTTTTTCTTTCTTTTATCCCCACTTACCGAATTTTGCATTGAGTATACTGGAACATACTATGCATAATGTGGTAAGTAAAATAAATATTTTTTTTGACTTTTTGGTATAGTAATTTTTAAGAAGTTGATTTTATTCACCCAACATTTCCTATCTATAATTATTTAAATGATCCATTGTTGTGAACGGAAATATATTTCAGCAAGGCTTTATCCAGGCTTCATTTTTTTCATTCCATGACTAGAACTTGGTCAAACAAAAATGCCACAATCCACATTGAAAAGCTAAATACTTTAAATATTTTCAGGAAAGTCTTTATATCCAATACAATCCACAATAATTAATTTCACATATCTTCAAAAATACTGATTTTTCAAAATGTCACAAAAAGGTGTTGCACTCTTGACATTTTTAGCATCAAATTTGGGCATAACTTTTTTGTTAATTGAGATATGAATGAGATATTTGACAGGTATTTAGACACTCTTTAAAGACATGTGTTGAGGCATAGACATTTCTTCCCACTGTCTGTATTTTTAGTGCAAAGTAATAAATATGTATTTGGCATTTTTTAAAGATACCCCTATTCGATGACATGAAGTTGTATCTATCTAGATAGAGACAAAAAGTGTACGGCATTATGAAATTATATTTCTCTATTGAAAACATGAATGTCAGGGATAAAGCATCGCAGATAGAAGCATAGAGATTTTTTTCCCATAAGCTTGCAAGGTAAAAGAGCATGTTTAAAAGTATCTTTTAAGAGACATCTTTTGAATGTTTGATATGCAGAAACCTTTAAATGATAGAGTGTTTTTATATCTAATATAAACGATCGATCAAAAATGTTTCCTGTCACGTGAGTTTGTCACTCTTAAGATGGCGTACACGTTTGGCCACCTGAGTTTACTTTGTGTGTTTGCGAGCACTGTACTCTTGGGTAAGAATACTTCTCTTTTGTACATTCTAGAATTTATCAATGAGAAACCCTTTAAAAATCTTCAATTATTTATATTTTGTGAAATATTAAAGTAAATAGATGTTAGATTTTTGATTTGCATTTCCCTGTTTAATTTTCTGTTTAACTGGCTGTTATGTTACAAAGCAACATTATTGTATAATATGTATGTTAAACTTATTCCAAAACTTGCAGCTTATTAATCAAGGAATCTAAATCGAAATGTATTTAAATGGAACGGCAATAGATAGCTAAATTGTACGATTAATTCTGAGAGGTTAGACAAGTAGCATCGTTTCCTAAAGAGTGTTTATTTGACGAGCCAAAAAAAAAAAAAATAAATAAATAAATTAGACACAAAATAGCCCCTCACCCTAAAAAAATCTGAAAATGAAAATTGGGAAGGGAGAACCTTCTAATTGCCATTCTCATCCTTAACAGTAAATGTCAAAAAGTGTGGAAAATGAGGAGGGATTGTCGGCCTTTGCTTTAGGCTTTTCCTTCGGAATTAAAAACAAACTGCAAAATTAGTGGAAAAAATCAGTCCCCGACTCCTGTCTATGATAGACCTGCAAGACAAGGACCTTTTATTTTGCATGTTTTAAAAGATAAACATAAACAAACCATCACGACATGTTATTCAATGTAAGTTTTAAATGCGTCTTAACTCTATGTAAGAATGATACTGTTTTCGGTTACTCCTCACTATATACAATTCGAAAAGGAAGTTTTTATCCGCTTTCTTACACATACACTTAAATGGCAAGGGCACTTGAGATAACTAGTTGCTATTGCATCTTAATTTGAGTTTATTTGTTGTGTGTCTCTGAAATATGACTTTAAAGCTTGAGATTTAATTTTTCTTTTAAATTTTTAAACACCAGAATTTCAATTTATGACTGAGTATTTTGAAAGTTAAAAGTTGATATACTTTACTTCTCAGTTAAATAAAACCCTTGCTAAGTACATGTGAGAGGATGTTTTCCTGAATATTAGAACGTGATAATTTTCTGTGATTCGAGATAAGGCCATTTCAAGATTTTTTTCTGTTTAGCGTCCACCTATTTTTCGAAAACCTACCTACCTATTCGCAAAAAACACACAAGACAAAAAATAAAACATAGACTTGATAGTCATAAAAATGATGTCATTCAAGGGATTTGATTTCATTAATTTATTTTTCTTGTAAGAAGATCTATTCTTAAGCAAAATCAATGTATTAAATGCTTAAAATATACCAAATATGACATATTGTAGACAAATATTTAGAGAAATTGACAGTATTCAAAGATTTTGACAAGAAAAATCAATTTCAGGACTCCTGCTTTTTTTTTTTTTTTTTCTGATATGGAGTGTCAAAAACCAAAGCGCACGCGGACGCTTTACCTAGGAAAAAACTTGGAATGGCCTAATAATTATATGTTTTGCATTAGGAAGAAAAAAAACTCTTTCATTTTCAAAGAAATATGGAGATAAGGAACAGTATTCAGACTCAAAAGTCCATTCAAACAATACAAATTAGGAACAAAGCAAATACGAGTTTCTAATGTTTAACATCTGGAGTGGGATCAGGTGTCATGAAGGAATAAGTATCCCCCTAAATTTCCAGAGTGTATATTATACAAGGGCAAACGTCTGATTTCCAAAGCAAACTTCTAAAGAAAACTTTACTTCATATGCAATTTAGACAAATAAGTCTGTAAGGTTATTTCAATGACAAGACTTGATTGTCTTCTTTTTCTGATTTTTTTCAGACCTTGTAGAAGCCCGCTATTGTTACTCCTACTACGATTATTATCTGGAGTACTACAACTACTACTGCACATACTATCTGTACGCAAGTCTTTCATTTTCTATACATGTATATCAACGGACAAACATGTCAAGTGAATTGATTTACAAAAGCATCTTTTTGTCACTTTCAAAGACTCTTTGATACATTGAGTACAAAAGTAGTTTGTCGAACATTTGTCCTCATACTTTTAAAACTTTAAGACCAATAATAGCTTAATCTTGTTTAACAGAATAGGTCAATAGCAGAAAAGGTTGGGGCATATTGAAAAAAAATAAATTCATTGTTATCGAAAATAGTAAACTACAAGTAGTGTATTTACGTGTAAAAGTACATACGTTGATTAGTAAATACTATCAATGGAGCATTTCTTTACTTATAGAGTAAAAATGTTTGATGCTCTGGATAACTATAAATTAAATAATACTTTGTCTTTAGTTACTAAACAAAAGCACTGATATAGTTTTTTTTTTTTTAAATTATGGAACTTTGAATCGTTATACATGTAATCAACTGTACTAAACATTTTTATTACAATTATTTTTCATTACACTAAATTAGAGATTGATATAGCATCATGTACACAATTTGATTTTTTTTTTTTTTGTCATTATAGTGAATACAATGAAATAATAATATTCTTTGAGCAAACATCATTAAAAAAAATTAGATAATTTTACTACCCATCATAAAAAACTTTGATACCTTATTTATAATATTAAAAACAATATATACCGCTTAACTTTGATACTTTGAATTGATATAATAAAATGAAGGTAAATTTATCATAGTTCGATAATATAGAAAAATTGTTTAATATTTACTCATATAAATTAAAATTAACCGAAATAAACTATATGTCATGTTAGTTAAAGAGTGTATCATACCCAACTAGATTTTTGGGGAATAAGAGATTGTTCTAAATCTTTATTATACTATGTCATTGTTAGAGAAACAAAAGGATGCATGGAATGGCCGAATCAAATAATCTAAATACAATAATATATAAAGAATTGTCCCTTTAAGTGTCAAAAATATTCATGTATCTTTATTATGAAATCTTTAATCTCCTAGATAGTATACATATAAATTATTTTTGTGAATGTGTACGAAGAAACACGTTGAAAACCGAAATCATTTTCTCAATCATTGTTAGACCTATTGGTACCATTGCGGGAGGAGTAATTGGGGCATTGAGTGGCTTGGCAGTACTAATTGGACTACTGGTCTATTTCTGCTGCATCAGACCACGCCGTCTGGCGGCTAGGGGGACAGTTTTCCAACCAGCTGGATCCAATGTAGCCGTGGTCGCCACACCAACTGAAGGTATATATGTAAATAAATCTTGATAACTCAGACTCTTTGAAGATTAATTCTTCTAATAGACTTCATAAATGAGTTTCTTGGCCTGAAGTTCATTAAACACAAAGTCTGGGGAGATTTGTTTAAATTCTTCAAACTTTTTCTGAACATTTTGGACTATTTAACAAATTCTGTCATCATTGTTTAATCAATACAAGTTTCAATGGGATTCAATGTCATTTCCTAAATTTTTAATTTTACCAATAAAAAAACCCAGAAAAAATCAATCAAACAAAATTAAATTTAAGACAAAACAAAACGTTCTGCATGAGTTGATTGTTTCTCAATATTTTTTTAGAAATAAGAATAAAATAAATTATTAGATGTTCTTAATTGTTATCAATGCTGCTTCTCTTTTATTGTACAAGGTGTGCAGTATGGAGGTGGTTTCGTCAACCCGGCTGCTTACCCACCAGGGACTCAGCTCGCCTACCCACAGTACACATACCCTCCACAACAGCAAGGTCCCCCTACCGGGTATCAACCCCCTCCTACTTACAAATAAACTGCAAAGTGGAAGAATTTTTGTGACTATCTATACAATATAACATACTCGCATTTATGCATTCTCAAAAATGTTGATATAACTTTGTCCAGCATATATATATATATTTTGTAAAGAATAACACATTTGTGAGCGAATACTATATTTTACTTATGTAATTAACATTTTCATGTTTTGTTATTGTTGTTTTTGAGAATTTTTAGAGAAAGACAAAGAGCTGCAAAGGAAACTTGTAATCCTTGATACATAGATATTTTTTTCTGGGGATATTATTGTTTTTTAAACTGAAATTTTAGCAGAAAATGCCAAATGAATTGTTTATTTTTTAATGTTTGCCATTGTGTTTGTCTTGATTTAAACTCTTGATTTTTTTTTTCTTTTTCTTTTTATCTTAATATTCTAATACAGATCCAAATATAAGTATGATTTTCTATATTCATTTCTTCAATTATCTTTAAATACAAAAGCTTTTGTTATATTTGTATGATTGCGGGAACGACGCAATTTAAAATACGCCGCAGTGGCGTAGCGCCCTTTACGCAACAACGCAAATGAACAAACAGATTTTTCAACAAAAATAATCAAATAATTAAAAAAAGATGTCAAAAGTTCAATAATAATGGTAAAAAAAAGTTTTAGAATTTAAAAAAATTCTATATTTATTTTATCCATCTGTATAAACTATAATATTTCCAGCTTTTGTATAAGATCATTGAAAGTTTCAATCGAATAATTGGAAATATGTTATTATTCCTAAACATATTCACATGTTTGAGGGTGTATTTATACAAATTATAAACAAAAACGATCCATCAAATTTAATATATATAATGCCGGAAATATCTACAATTTCCAACTATTCAAATTAGTTAATCTTCTAAATGCTTCAATCATTAGTGTAATGTAAATCATTAAGTATCAATTCGGATGCACTAGAAGTGCATTTCGACAAATTAAACGTTGGAAAACTGAAATATTTAAATAAAAAAAAATTGAAAGAGCTGAAAGGGGGGGGGGAGGCAAAGACTGGAGCCAAATACGTCGAAGGATCAGTAACAATGTAAGTTCTCAAAACATATCACGTTTGAAGGTTCCTGTGGTACCAGATTACATATACATGTGTTGTCATTGTTATTTATGGACACAGCAATATAAGCCTCATACAAATGTACAAATGTATACAAGTTGATCAGAAAAAGAATTACTGTAGAGAAAAAGATATTTAAAAATGATGCATGTCATGTGATGTTTGTCGATCTTATCTTTCTTAATGCCTGAGATAATAAGAACCGCTTTCAGATTTACCTGGTCTGTATACCCCCGTTAACTAGTATTAATTGTAACGGGGACCGTTACAGATGTTCCCCAAACGCTCCCCAACTTCCTTTTAGTGTCTTATTCCCTGTAAGCTTCATTAAATAAGGCAATCAAGTATATTGGTTTTTTTTTACGCATTACACGCGCACGCACGGGCATGCATGTACAAAATGACCATGTCAACTTGTCTACACTTTTAATACATCTTTATATTCAAATTTCATTAAAAGATAAAAAAAAAATCGGCTATATTAAGTATATCTGTCATTTTATGCATTGCACGCGCGCGCACGTGCATGCATGTCCATGATGATCGTGTCATCTTGTCAACACTATTAATATATCTACATATTTCGGGTATCAAATCACTTCATCAAAAAGTATAAAAGTTACAGCTATATCAAGTATATTGGTCATTTTAGCATTGCATGCGCGCGCACGTGCATGCAGATGCATGTTGACAATGTCATCTTGTCTACATTTATAATATGTCTATATACTCTGAGTATCAAAGCATTACATCAAAAAATGTAAAAGTTCTGGTTATATCAAGTATATTGGTCATTTTACTCATTGAACGCACACGCACGTGCATGCAAATGCATGCATGTGAGCGCTGATCATGTCATCTTGTCTATACTTCTAATATATATTTATATTCTGAGTTTCAAAGCAATTCATCAAAAAATATACAAGTTAAGTCTATATCATTTGTATAGGTTATTGTAATCATTGCGCATGCGCACACGTGCATGAATGTGCATTCTGACCATGTCATCTTGTCTACACTATTAATATATCCTGATATCCTGAGTATCAAAGCATTTCATCAAAAGATATGAAAGTTATGGCTATATCAAGTATATTTGTCATTTTACTCATTTCACGCGCACGCACGTGCATGCACGTGCATGCATGTGTGCGCTGATCAAGTCTTCTTGTCTACACTTCTAATATATATTTATATTCTGAGTGTCAAAGCAATTCATCAAAAAATGTACAAGTAAAGTCTATATCAATTGTATTGGTTATTTCAATCAGTGCGCATGCGCGCTCGTGCATGCATGTGTATTCTGACCATGTCATCTTGTCTACACTATTAATATATCCTTATATTCTGAGTATCAAAGTATTTCATCGAAAGATATGAAAGTTATGGCTATATCAAGTATATTGGTCATTTTACTCATTGCACGCGCACGCACGTGCATGCACGTGCGCGCAAAATGACCTTCGTTCCGCAAATCTACATAACATTCCTATTAACCCTAAAAAGGTTTCAACTCAATCGGATGTATAGTTTCGGAGATCACTCACGGACAAAAAAGTACCCAGGAAGAAAAATAATAATAACTAGACGAGCTTGTTGCAAAGCAACAAATAAGTCTTCCGTCTAAATTTTAAGGAGATGAGATCGAGTTCGGGAGACATCTACGGTCATATGAGCAAGAATGAGCCATTTACCATTACTTCCGGTGTGACCGGAAGTGACGTCATTTTGACGACTTTTGATGATCTCCTTAGCTGCTACTTGTCGTTTTGAACAACTTTGCTTCTATGATGCTATACAAATTCTCAATACTTTTTGAGATATCAGGAAAACACTTTTGGCCCCTCTAGCTCCCTGATTTTAGGGGCCAGCCCCTTATTGTTGATATCTTTTGAAAGATCGTATCATTCTACACAACTTTTGCTCTATATGTTTTAACAAAATATTTACAGGTAAAAAGATATTGTAGAAAAAGTGTTAGAAATTTTAAAAATCCCGATAGGACTTTTTTCGGGCCATAGCGAACGACGAAGTACGGCACTTCCGGGGAAAAAGAAATGCGTATGTCACATCTACACATAATGCTCTATCATCGCTGAAAAATTTCATGCTTCTACCAGGAAGCCCTTTTGGGGAAACTGCCGGACAAAGTGACCCTCCGAAAATCACTAAATCGCGGAAAGCTTGGAACCGGAAGTGACGTCATCAAAACAAAAAAATATACATCTAGATTTTTTAATGTTCTATCAGACCTGTAAGTTTCATGAAAATCGAGCGAGCCGTTTCCGAGAACTCGCGTGCACAAAATCGGTAAGAAAAAAAACAATAATAATAATAACAAAAAATAGTGGAAAAGAAACCTAAGAAAAACAAGAAGGTCTTCCGCTGAAGACGGAAGACCTTAATAATAATAATAACTAGAAACTCATTGCGAGCAATGAGAGGTCTTCCGTCCGATTCTGAAAATAAAAACGAAAATTCAAGCTGAAAAAGTGATAAAACAAATTCAGACACTCTGGAGATTTAACCCTGGTCGTCAGCGTGAAAATCCAACGTGCTAACCATTAACCATTCATTTTTTTGCATCACTTCCTGTCACCACCGGAAGTAACGCGACACACGATTTTCATACGATGCAAATAAACTGATGACGGACTATCAGTCCTGAAAGTTTCAGACTTCAGTCATTTATTGTTGCCGAGCAATTGTGAGAACAAATTCTAATTTTGAGGACAGGAAAACACGCGACCGGAAGTGAATTTTATAAAAAATCTCTAGCGTGTCTCTAGACATTGCAGTATCTACAACATGTATTAAAACATTTCAATCCTTTTCTATAAGCGATATTTATGAGAAAGTTGAATATCGAAATAACGTATTTTATCTCCTAAAACCGGAAGTTAACGTTTTTGTTTCCGGAGGAGTCTAACATATTTCAAAACAGCGAAAGAGATGTAATAAGGTGATGCAAGATTCAATTTAAACAAGAAAAGTTGAATATTTTGATTTCTTTGATCACTTCCTGTGACGACCGGAAGTGACGGCTGACAGTTTAACCTAAATAATTTTGCCTACTCTTCAAGGTCTACTACTCAAATAAGTTTGTTGTCTTAATCTCTTACCGTTTCTAAGATCTCGCTCAGATATTTTCTCACTTTGAGGACAGAAAAACACGCGACCGGAAGTGAATTTTGCAAAGATATTTGACGTAACTCTAGACATTTGCAATCTAAATAACATATGTAAAAATCATTTCAAATACTTTACCTATGAAAGATATTTATGGGAAAGTAAAATACTCAAAATATGTAGTTTTTCTCTTATAACCGGAAGTTGTCGTTTTTGTTTCCGGTGGGACCAACATATTTCGAAACTGCGACAGAGTTGCAATAATGTGATGCAAGATTTGATTAAAAAAAGAAAAGTTGAAATTTAACGATTTCTTTGAACACTTCCGGTGACGACCGGAAGTACTGACGACGAAAACCAAGGTAATTTTGAACATTTAGAAGTCATGGTCTATCATCTCTAACAAGTCTCCAGTTCATATCTTTAGTCGTTTCTTAGATCCTTCGAGGACAAAATTTCATTTTAAAATCAGGAAATTGTCCATAACTTGGCACTGGAACCGAATTTACCAAAAAACGGAATTTTATATAAAATTCATATAAAGACCTTTTATCCCTGAAAATTTCAAAGAAATTCATTGAATAGTTTTCGAGAAATCGCGTGCACAAAATTTTGTCTAAAAAAAAAGAATAATAATAATAATAATAATAATAATAATAATAACTAGACTCTTGTTGCCATGGCAACAAAAAAGTCTTCCGTTCTTCTAAATCTGTGAGAATTTGCTTTTTTTCTGTGTAAAAAACATACGTATCATATACTGTGAAAGAAAAAAAAAACTGGAAAAAAGTCCTTTCAGTACTTAAGGTACTTTGATTTTCATTATCAATCTTGCATAATACATTTGGCACCTATAAGAGATATACGTATATCATTACCAATTTAAAAAAAAAATTGTTTGCAATCATTTCTAAGACAAACAAACAGACGAACGAACACCGTACTATCATAAACTTCACTGTGTGTATGTCTTGGCATAATTGTGTTGGTGTTATAAAAAAATATAATGAATTAAGTTAGTATCACATTAAACGTAAAGTCACTGAGTTTTGTAAAGTTATAATATCAAGATTTGAAAGCATACCTATAAGACAGATTATTCAATTACAGTAATTCTTCAGCAATCGATTGATTGATTGATTGATTATACGTATGTTGTTTAACGTCCCTCTCCAGAATTTTTCACTCACATGGAGACGCCACCA